CAGTGCAATGCTTTTGTCATCCCCAAAATATCTTTAACACGACCTTTTCCGGACCAATTGTTGTCCTCAGAGAGCACTCGAAAAGACATATCCGGAGCAAACCAGCTTGTGTCGTCCTCAATAAGTACTAAGGCCATTGAGAACTGTGCGAAGACGATTGTACCCTATGAGGACGACCTCAGGACATCGAGTGTTGTTTGGGAGAAGGGGGGTGGAGGGTGCCCACTCTCTTGTCACGCAAAAGGTGGGTGCAAAAGTCAACACCATACGTTTATGTAGTACTGTGGTAGGGACGGGTACGCTGCGAATCATTGGGGGGTGCAAAGTCAGCCTCATACATTGACATAATAGGGGAGGGACGCTGCAACGAACCTTCGCCCCCGTTCTCCATGTACTGAAAACCCTGCACATGCCTATTGCTGTGCGTCTATCTGTTCTTACAGGTGTGCCCTTCATTTCTAGATAATACAATTTCGCCATTACTTTTGCAACTCTCTCAATTAACAATCACGAAGCACAGTCGAAGTAGCACAGTACCGCTTTTCAGGCACCTTCTGCGTGCTGCAAGTCGTTCGACAAATCATCGGCACTGCTGGCGGATGATATTACATCGCTTTTCACGCCTAGCCAGCGCACTGAATTCATCTGCAATACTCCACGTAGGGAGTTGCGCGCGACTATTTGCAGCTTGGATTCACGAGAGGTACGTGGGAGTGAGTAAGTTTCACTCACGATAACGACCTGACGCATTGCGGCCAAATAAAACCACTGAACGTGCGCATAGATGCTTTTAGTGTAACGCTTTATGATTTGTTAATGTCGTTATTTCTGTGCATATTTCAGAATATGCACATTAACTCGGTCCACTGGATTGTTTGTCTTCAATTAAAGCACTTACTCATCGGTTGTGTGAACATGATGAAACAGCTCCGTAATTACACCATTTAGTAAAAATCACTTTTGATTTAAAAGATATGTGCCTCTTGCAAAACAGTGGAAGAAATGATATCAACTTGCCCTTAACATAATCATTAAACTAAAATAAATGACATAAAAACATGTGCCCTAGCAGCCAAGAGAATTCCACTGAAGACGCACAAAGCCAATTGGTGGACATGTCGACGCAAGCAGCGACAGGACGTGACATGCCAGCGCACGGAATGACCCTCGGGATCAACACGAGCTCGGCGGTCAAGCGTTCGCTTGAGCAATCTGCGGGCACTGCTCACGAGAGCAAAGTTGAGGGACCACCAGCGAAAGCGACACCGGGGCGGCGCTCGGGCCTCAGAGCGAGGTCCAATCTACCTGTGGACCGACCGGTTGGCACTCCAAGGGACCAGCAGCTAACTGATGCCGGACCACCGGATGGCCCCGGAGACGTCTAGCAGGGAGCTAAACGTACACGGTAACCACCATGCTCCGGGCCTACCCCCTCCTTTTTTTTAGCGAGTAACGATGGCTAGTCACTGGGCATTGAGCTTTGCAACCTTAAATGTCCGAGGTTTGGCCTCCAGGAAAAAGCAGGCTCAAGTGTATCGCTTGTTAATTGACCAAGATATTGACGTGTTAGCCGCGCAGGAGACAAAAGTGGAAGGTGAGGAGGAGACGCGGAGCATGATGCTGCGGTTTACGTCTAAATATTATGGCACAGTTAGTCACGCAAATGGAACTTCGGCCGGTTGTGTTCTTTTTGTTAAAAAGATTCTGGGATTGATTGTTGAAAGTCACTTTTCTTGTGACTCTGGTAGAACAGTGACTTGTGATTTTAGTACTAGCAAAATTGAATGGCGCGTCATTTGTGTCTATGCGCCGAACGTGAAGGCAGACCAAGAAACTGTCTTTTCGTTAATTAAACAACATTTACGGACACCAAAACAGCTTGTTTTATTGGGGAATTTCAATTGTGTATTGAGCGCGAAAGATAGAATTAATAACCGCCATGTGCGAGACAGAAGTGTTGAAGTGCTCTATGACTTGATGAATGAATCTGACCTGGATGATGTTGCGGAGTGCCTCGAAGCAGGTCGCGAAGTTCAATTTACGCATTTTCAGGGAACCAGTCACGCACGTCTTGATAGAATATACATGGCCGGGGAGGCGCTAGCTAAAAGCAATAGTTACACAGTCTTACCTGTCTCTTTCTCTGACCATTGTCTTGTACAATGCAACGTGGGACTTAAACAAAAAGAAAACAAATTTAGTTGGGATTTATGGAAGTTCAACGCTAAACTACTGCGGGATGACATTTTTAATAATTTTGTGATTGAGGGAATTAAGAACATTAAAGTGATTGGAGCCTGTAATGTTGGCGAGGAATGGGAGCTTTTGAAGCAAAGCGTTAAAATGAAAGCCATATCGAGATCTAGTACTTTAAAATATCAAGAAAGAATGAAAGAAAATGAACTCAGAACAACGCTTAAGAAATTGATAGCATTAGAAAGCAAGGAGCCCGGTGCATAAAAGAAGATATTCGAACGGTGAAACGACAAATTGAGCTAGTAGAGCAGGAACGCTACAGAGGAGCCCTTATTCGAGCGAGAGCAGAGGCGTGGGCTATGGGGGAGACTCCTACCAAGCGCGCACTTGGAATCGAGAAATCACGAGCGCGTCGTAATCACATCGACGAAATAGAGGAAAATGGAATTCTGCTAAATACTAACAGCACTATCGCTGAAGCTTTCTTTCGGTATTACAAGGGTCTCTTCGCAGCCGCATTAGTAGATGTTACGAAGTTCGAGGACACTTTCTTGAGCCGGATGCCGCAATTATCCCTCGAAACGAAAGAAGCGTTAGAGAGGCCTATAACCGTTTCTGAAATTGAATATGCGATAGATAGTCTCGCCGCTGGGAAGTCGCCGGGGGCTGACGGTCTCGGTGCGATGTGGTATAAAGCTTTTAAAACAGAAGTTTCACCAGTGTTACAAGCTGTGTTCAAGGAAGCCTACACAATCAAAGCGTTACCACCTTCATTTGCCGAGACGCACACTATTCTAATACCCAAGACGGATGACAAAGCAAAATTGAAACTAGTTTCGTCATATAGGCCCATTTCACTAACCAACACTAACTACAAAATACTCATGAAAGTATTGGCAGGTAGATTGCAGTCCGTAATCACCGGAATAGTTGGGGAGCACCAAACGTGTGGCATCAAGGGGCACTCAATATTGATGAACACACACACAATGCGATGTGTCCTTGAGAGTAGCGATGCTTTTAATTCTCATGTTGCGATCCTCCAGCTTGATTTAGAAAAGGCTTTTGACTGCGTCCCGCAAGATGTGTTATTCTCCTTACTTGAACATGTCAATGTCAGATCGGTGATTACAGAGGGCATAGTTTTGGCGTATAAGAACTCTACTACACGACTAATTATTAACAAGATCCCGGGGTCTCCCATTAGGCTGGAACGTTCTGTACGCCAGGGATGTCCGGCAAGTCCACTCTTGTTTGCATTGTACATAGAGAGCTTATACTTGGCCATAATGGAAAACGAGACCATCCGTAGTTTCAGACTGTTTGACGCCGAGGTAAAGGTTTTGGCATACGCTGATGATGTAGCAGTGTGTTGCACCACCAAAGAGAGTGTACAGGAGACAGTTGCCGTTGTTAAAAATTTTGGACAAATTACAGGAAGTTTGGTTAATTGGGGAAAGTGTCTGCGGTTGTGGCACGGAAACTGGACATCGATCCCAGATACCTATGCTAACATTCACTGGTTTAATACTCCAGTAAAATATCCAGGCGTGCCTTTCGAGCACTACAAAGACACCAATGATTACTGGACTGAACAAATAAAAGTAACGTGCTAAAGGACAGCGCAGAGGAATGGCAACTGTCTCTCAATGTTTGCCAGAGCCACTGTATGCAACATATTTTTAATGAGCAAATTATGGTATGTGATGCAGGTTTTCTGTTGCTCACAGAGCATGTGCAAAAGCTGCATAGGATATTTGCTGTGTTTATATGGGGGTCTACTTGGGAAAAATGTAGTAGGACAAATCTGTTCCGAAGAGTAAAACACGGGGGACTAAGCCTGTCGCATCTGTTCGTGCGACAACTAGTTAATCGTTTTATTTTCTTTCGAGATGTTCAACACCCCTTCTTAAGAACAGTATGCCAGTTACGCCTTTGTCCTGTTCTGCCTAACTTTGTGGTTAGCACCGCAAGCATGCCGGGAGCTACGCGAGGTTTCTTTAAGGAAGTTGCAGACAGTGTCTGGTTCTTGTCAGTTCGGTTTTCCAATGAATACCTTTCTTCGGTCGGGCGAAATAAATTGCATAAAGACATATGCGACATGATTTTTCCAGTTCCTATGTATAGGTTAATTAATAGCGGGGGAGAAGGCAATGATGTTTTTAAGCGTGTTAAGAAAATGCAAATTCAGCCTAGTGCAAAAAGCTTTTTCTTTAAATTACACTCCAGAACACTACCGGTTAAGACTTCTTTAGAAGATAGAGGAGTTTATATGCCATGGGGTTCAAACTGTTTGATCTGCCGAAAGCCGGAGACAATAGATCACGTTTTTCTGCATTGTTGGGAAGGGGTTTACTTTTGGGATGTTTTACAGAGAACTCTAAAAAAGGAACTTCCCTTACATTCACTGGGTATCAGGTTTTTAACAGTAGAAAAAGAGGAGGGACTGCCTCTTGATCTTATAATGCTGCTTGGCCTCGATTGTCTATGGCGGGAAAGAATGGCCGGTTACTACTGTGCCCCTGACAGGCGTCCGGCCCGTATGCTGTTCCGCGAAAGCATTGCTCAGTACATTGATATACTCAAACAACAAGATTTTGTTCCGGAATGGCTCTCCAGGGTCGAACACCTGGTGAACCTGAAGGAATTTTTGCACTGTAATCACTAATAGTTCCGCGGCTGTTTTGTCATCACTTCTGTTTGTATGTTACTTTTTACAGTGACTTATATTGATGTGTGTACCTTGTGCGAAACCGGTAATAAAGGGAAAAAAAAAAGCGAAGTAGTTCAGTGTGTTTGCCAAATTTTACCAATTCTAGTTCAACGTCGGAAAACGCTTCGTTTTTCGGCCCCCAAAAACTTCTTTGCTGGCCGCTGCATACAAAGAAGACTTTTTTCTGCTTCCTCCAGTCAAAAATACACCGCTCCTCCACGCCGAAATGTCGCCCCAGCTAAGATAGCCTTTCTATTAGGGCCGGCAAATACTGCCTTCGCAGAGCTGGCATGGCAGGAAGTCACAGAGGTAGAAACGTGGTCGTTGTTACGTGCACTGAGTGGCTGTAATGCCTATTGTTGCACGCCACTAGCACCTGTAGAGCTAACGTAACTAGAGCTACCTACCGAAGAAGCGTGCCGACACCTGATGATGATGGCGATGATGATAGCACCGTGTATTGCCGAAACCAAAACCAAGAATTCGGGCCGGAAATCATTGAGATTCGCATGCAGTTCGAGGCAGAAATTTGGCATAGTAAAAATATAAGAAAAGAAAAACAGGCTATATGCGAGTTTTCATGGTACCTCCTATAACACGGCAGAATATAGTACTAGTAGATGAAGAAACATACCTCTTGGATGAGGCCAGAAGAGCTGCCTGAAAGTGGGCAAACTCACCTTGCAGCTGAGACATGGCTTCACAAGCCCAAGGGTAACCGGTTCAATAGACGCCCCTCCTAACATGTGGCAATGTTTTCCTCTGAATTGGAGAGTCAAACTCCTCCACATCAAGGAACGAAGCGTTTCTACAGTCACCTGCAGGCAGCAAACTAAATTCACAATTTTGTCAAGGACTTCACTGATACACTTCAAAAAAGATGCATAAGCATCTTGCTGAGAGATTTAGTGGAACACAAAACACACAAACAAGAAGTGGAATCAATTCAGAGGACTTGGTTTTCTTTTAACATAGCCTCATGAGGCCAACTACACACTCTCGTTCATACTCACATTACGCTCACTGAATTGACAAATATTTGTGGGTACTCCCAACAGTCCATCCTTGAGTCTTATCACACTTGTTGGTACCCAGTAATGTTCACACAATACCCACTCAAATATATGCATACTCACACTCTTCAGGAGCATAGCCATATTTTTATTAAATGTGGGGATGGGTGTTCAACCACATTTTATGTTTGTGTTTGTATGAGTGCACACACATATGCACATTAAAATCGAAAATTTTCAAGGGGTTGAAAGTGCAGTCTGAACCATCGCTACAATAGTGTACTGCGGCATGTGTTAGTGCATGCGATTTATATTACAAAGAGCTGAACAGGTTGATAAAAATTTATTCTAAAAGGCCTAACATCACAAAGCAACTCAGGCTACGAAAAATACCCTTGACGAGGTCTGTAGATAATCTTTACCACCTGGTATTCGTTAATGAGAACTGATGTAAAGCGCTGAAAAAATGTAAAGTAGGGTCAATTATATCCATCCAACTGCATCTCCTCTACTAGTAGCTGTAGCAGTACCTCTGCAGTATTCACAAGAAAACTAAGACCTTTTTCCACAGTGGCGAAATCAGCTTATTTGTGCCGTTATGAAATTGAAAGGATGCAAGGCCTCGCTCATGTAAGAAACTTGTGCCCCCCACCGTCCTTCATTTGTTTTTCTTCCTGCACGCGCTACACTTGTTGTTTTTAACACTCTTGGACCATTACTTGTTCTGGATGCATTTACAGAAAAAACAAATGCTGTTTAGGCCATGTGAAAACTGTGCTGCTGCTCCCTAGCTCTGCACAACATATACCCGTATTTCATGTGTAAAGACACAATTTTTTTTAATACTTTTGCTGGTGAATCTTCTGTACACAAAAAGTCATGCCATTCTGCGAGAGCACCATTTCGATGTTTTATTCTCAAGATGAACTAAGCACGACAGGATTCATGAAAAGATATCTTTGTTATAAGAAAGAAGAGAGTGTAGTCACCTATATACTTGATGTTCAAGTACTGCAGTGATTAAGGTGATTTTGGCCAAAGTAAAAGCCATCATCACCCCGCAAACTATTGTAATGTTTTAATGCTTTCTTATAAAGTGAATGTTTAAATCCACGAAACTGAGGATCTAAATATAGAAGGGCACCACAAGAGTTCATTGTAACATTGTAGTATGTGCAATACCAGTTACAGAAACATACCACTTTGCTATCATCAGTTTTCACTTGAAGCATCACCCTGGCATCACTCCAATCCTGCAGTAGCCGCAGCTTTCAGTCGCCTTTTACATTTTATATGCGCGAGTGTAGATGTCAAGCATGTGGCGTAATCATTGTTTGTGTGTTCCTGCCAAGCCTCACAATGCCGTAAAGACAACACCGACATGCTCAGAGGAGCTTTCAACACCGCAAAAAAGGATTGCTCAGAGGCTTACAGGGACTACCCCACGATGCTCCTTACCAAGGCAGAACTTTTGACAGTGCACCTAAGAATCCCGTCGAATAAATATTAGTCTTCTGCACCTCAGGACTGCTTTATTAGTTTTGTACTACTACTTCGGAGATATTCAATGCCGTGCGTATCTACAGATTTCCCAATCAACATACTCCACGTGAGACATATGATGTTAACAGCGTAGAAAATAGGAACGTCTTATAGGGAGCTTGCATAAACGGCGGCGACACTATGCACTCTGGGTAGGCAGCCATGTTTTTGTCAGAGGCGGTCGGAAAGTGCAGCAGTGCAGTCGTGTTAGCGAGCGTTGGCGTAGCTTGCAGGCGTAATGGAGTGTGATCGCGACGCAAATTTAACTCCAAGAAGTTTCGTGCACGATATCAGCCTCACCGCAAGACCACGTCGCAAAGCTGTGCCCGAAAGACCTCGAGCAGCACGAAGAAGAGACGAGATGTTGCTCCGAGTGATCCATTCAATCACGCTTCGCGCGGGCGACTGTGTAATCGACGTACATGCACTTGTGGCCGCGCGTCAACAGCTACGATATGCACGAATTTCTCGTTCCGAGGACGAGTTTGATTACTCAAGAGCTGTTGAATTCGATAAAGGCAATCAATGCCCACAACATTGTGACGAGTGGCTGGTAATAGGAGTCGTGAATGAAGAATTTCGCCGCCGATACCAAGATCATCGTCACTCAGGTAAGAGGTGTTAAATTACTTGACTTTGCCGTAGATGCTAATGTCTGTTCAGGTTAAACTCCCAGTGTGTTAACAAGCCCCGGTCGACGTCTTGTTAATGGGCAAGAGTGATGGTGAGGTCCCTGCGGTGCACTACACATGCACGGCCGGGAACAGCGAAGCCTGCTCGCATCCCACTGCGCTGTTATTCTACGAGTATGACGCACGTGCACGAGAAGAGCGCTCCTCAATTTAACACGTCTTACTTGAGTGACGACGAACATGGTATCGGCGGTGACTTTCTTCACCTACAGCTCCCGCACTCAGCCACTCTTCACAAACTTGTGACCCTCGAGGGCCTTTCTGAACTTCATCTGCTCCCGGGTTTTGAAACTCGTCCTCTGAATGGAAAATTCATGAATATCGGAGCTGTCGACGCGCCGCCACAAGCACACGTCGCTTACACAGTCGCCCGCACGAAGCGTGATTGAATGTATCACTCGGAGCAAATTCTCGTCTCTTCTTCGTGCCGCTCTAGGTCTTTCTGGCACAGCGTTGCGGCATGGTCTTGCGGTGAGGCTAATATCGTGCACGAAACTTCTTGGAGTTAAATTTGCGTCGCAATCGCACTCGATCACGCCTGGGAGCTACGCAGACGCTCGCAAACACGACGCCGCTGCTGCACTCCCCGGCCGCCTCTGACAAAAAAATGGCTGCCTAGTCAGAGTCCATAGCGTCGCCGTTGTTCATGCAAGCTCCCTATACGGGTCATTCCGCGCCAACTATCCCAACCAGGGCGCTCACCAAAATATCCTTTCAATCAAATTGATTTCAAAAACGGCACACATATAGGCATTAGCTCTAAAGTATTTCCCCAAGATATTTTGAGTGACAAAAAATTGTTTGCACCCGTGACCGCCATTTGATTCACGAAATGGTTGAAAACCAGGCAAGAAAAAAAAATCTCTATGATTTGACCATTTCACTAATTCTTTCAATACTTGCCTTTTTAGCAATGTGCTTTCATTATAAAACACTTGCTCTTGACAGCTTGAAAATTTTCACACTTTAGAGCATAGACAAACTGAGGAAATTGTAGTGTTTTCGAGAATTCTCTACAAAACAGAATTATTGATTGAATCCATAATGTACTTTTATCAAACTTTACAGAAAATGTACCATTAACAAATATGTTTTGCCAGCGTGTCGCGCATAGGCTCTAAAAAATAAAAACCTGCACTTGGCAAAAACACCACTTTGGTAAAAAATGAAGAGGTTTGTAGCACACTAAGGTAGTCTAAGTGGAGAAAAGACAGTTTTTTTTTTAATTAAGTCTCACCATTGACATCATTTTGCTATGGGGTCAATACAAGCCAACAGAATTCGTTGCATAAAAACTAGTGGCAGTGCAATTACAACACACAGTTAAAGTCCTCCTTGTTAGTACTCTCTTTTGTATGCTACCTATAGAGATGATAAACAGTGCTAAATATATAACAATGCCAATGAAATATATGCCGCAATGCTTCCCAGAATGAATTGCGTTACATTTATTGCATGTGGCGATTAGAAACCATGTCAAAAAACATGTCAGAATGTTACTGTAGGTTGGAGACGTGAGCGTGGTCATTTGAAGCTGATTCACACAAAGCTAATCTATGTATTCCGCATGCGGAATACATACATGGAATACATACTTCTCTTATGACTCAAAGTTCAGCACACGTGTTCTTGTTAGCACCCACTCACATGTACTAACTTTTACACGTTTATAGTCATGCTTACAATAAGCGATACTCATTCGCGTTCATACTCACGCGTGATCACGCTTCTCTGAGCTCCCTCACGACTACTCGCGGTCACATAAGTCGCACATATAAACGCACGCACAACGTATCGTCGAATCATATCACCCTTCCCCCCCTCCCCCCTTCGAAAAAAAATGCCGCTGCGCCACTGCGGCTTAACTTTAACTGCGGTGTGATACTGCGCCACGGATAAGGCACACAACTCGGAACGGCTGCGCGGAACGGGGAGGTACAGAACGACGCTGACAATCACACGAAAGAAGGGTACAAATTCCGTGCCACACGACGACACTGCAGCGAGGCGCAATCAGACTCCAATGGGAAGAAAGAGCATATATCACTCACTTCAAAGCAGCCGATTACAATTCTGCGAAAAAAATATTTTTTTTTTCCATATTTACTCACTGACATTTAACAGCCAAACATTTAGGATTATCGTCACTGCAGCTTTGTTCGCGAGTGTAATATCGAATAGCTAAGGCGTTCCTCTGTTCGCACGGAGGGTCTAGATCACGAAGTTTGTACTTACTGCAATCACCAACATCCCTGCAGATCCCCGCAGTGTGGGCACGCGGATGATGCCTACGGATGTATCCACGGTTTCTTTCTCCCAAGTCGTCGTCATTGTCGAATTTCACCAAGAAAAGATTGTGTTCTGGTGCCGAGCTAATGACAACGTTTGCTCTTGAGCATCACAGGAGATCGCCGCCGAAGAGTACAAACTCGTTACTTCACATACCTGTTGCCACTGGCAGAAGTAAAAGAAAAGACGCTATCAAACGTGCTCGCTACGCACAGCAACCGCCTGACTCCAGTCAATTTAAGCATAAATGCGCACATGGCGAACCCACGAGCCCACCATTCCGCTCGGCGGATTGAAATGCACAGGGAGTTAGCCAACTTTCCCCGTTTATGGTGCATTCAGACGACGGACCGAATCCGGATTTGTCGTGGACGCGGACAGCTAATCCGCGGATGATCCGCCTGCAGGCGCATCCACACGACGGACGGTGTCCTAGGGGAAAACAGCCGGATTACCCTCGACAGCAGATTCGGCGCTCACCTGCGCCCGCTGGCAGCAGACCGGTTTGAGAGTATTCAACATGGATGCCCGCAAGAAGCGAAGCTTGGCTGCGATGTCTGTCGTGTTGTGACAAATGAACGAGTAGTGTTATTCTTTCAGGAGAAAAGGGAGTTGCTAGCAGGATATTCTTTCAACTACATTATTCCCCACTTGTAGAACTTCTAAACGTGTCTCCCACCTTTTTTTTTTTTTTTGAAGCGGCACGTCGCCGGTTGCTGAAGTTGGAATATTTCACCACCATGACGGCTAAAAATCTCGCGTGTTAAGCGACGGCGGCTACATTTCCCGAACCACCAAAAGTGATTTCTGCATATCTAATCACCTGAGAACAAAGTCTCCGGAAACTAAGTAAACAATGCTCAAGCGTAGATGATGCCGACCAGTCATGCATCTGTCCGCGAGCCATGGAGGACATGCCGCGAGCAGACGAAAACTGTACTGGTTGCCACCGACCCCAAGCTATTCCGCTGAAGTACCGGCTCTCCCCCGCCAGAATCCCGATGTGAGAAACAGGTTGGGTTCATCCGTCTGCGAGCCGCGCGGACGAGTCGCGGACGAGGGGAATCGCTGATGTGAGGTCACGTGACGCGCCGTCCGCCCCGCCACATCGGGATTCGGTCCGTCGTCTGAATGCACCATTAGCGGAGATAAAGTGAGCTAGAATAGGGTAGTGGGCTTGCTGAGGTCCCCTGCTTGACGCCGGGTATGTCACATGTGTAGTGGCGCCACCAGCGACTTCAATATAGGGCACTGCTTGACGGAGGCGTTTATGCGCAACTGAAATCATGCTTTTTGTGCGCTG